ATTTGGCTTGATGCCATTAAAAACTAAGTTAAAAAAAAAAAAAAAAAAAATTGATTGTAACTAGCTACTAAGTGCATTCTTAATCCATTTTAATTGAAGTTTTATCTCATTTTATACAAATATAATTCTTATAGGTAATTGTTATACTAATTATTGCAGATTTTACAAGCACACAGCCAAATATCCATAAAAAGCTTAGTTATAATTTGAAATCTGTTTTTACTGAGCCTACTCATCATGAGAATTAGTTTTCCAAACTGGCGTCACAATACTTTGATGTAATTCTTATGAACTTAATTTTACATTCAGTTCTTTTAATATGCATTTTAAATTATATGTTTGGTCTGATACATCTCAAAAATCTTTATTTTAAAAAAAATAAGTGTATTGCCAATAAAAAAAAACATTCAAAAGTTTTATAAGTTTCAATTTATATACACCGGAGCATATCAATCAGATTTCCATTATTTACATAAAGTTGATGTACTATTTGATGATACAACCAAATATTGATCATACTTTCAAGTATCTCTACCTATCTTGTCAGTGAATTAAAGATTTTAGATAAAATTCAATTGCTGTTAATCAAAATGAATATTCACATATTACTTACATGAAAGGTATGTTTACAAATACATGCGATCAAATGTTTTAATTTTATATCACCATTCTCTTATGCTTATGATGATACTGAACTCACAATTACTATGCCACCATGGGAGCATTAAGTAGTATTAAACCTCATGCTCTTATTGCCTGTCTGCTGCTACCACTGCCTTGGTGTCATGCTTGACCACCTCCAACTGCTATTTTTCTTTCTTTTTTGCTGCTGCTGAAACCTCTGATGCAGATACTGTTTACTAGGCATGCTTAGAAAAGTGGTAGCAATTTATCACCTGTTTATGGAAAAGTGGTACAATTTATCGCCTGTTTAGCAATAAATAAGATGATAATTAGGTAATAAGCTTTTTTTATTATTAACAAAACAATTGTTGTCTACTTAGTAAATTTTTTAGATGAAATAGTTGAATTAAATTTCCTAAACAACAATACCAAAATTAATTATCCTTGAATAAAACCCCTAATCCTGCCATAAGACATTTAATTCAATTGATTATTGATAGCTCCCATATGGTACTTATTTTTGATTCTCCAATGTTAGTGACTACCCTTTCCCTGCCATACATGATCAGCTATGCCTGATTTTATTGTCCCACTTCTTACTATAGCTTTCTGGTGTTCATCCAGTCTTATTTTGGGGGTTTTCTGGTTTCACATTTTGTATTCGTTGCCACAATGGCAAGGGATGGAATACAAACAGTTCTTGGTCATGTTCTCCTCTGTGTTAGACTTGATTCAGCAGAGATTTCTCAATAAGAATTAATATTGTCTTGATGTTGTATGGACTGTATCTTCTGAATCTTCTCTGATACACCCTTGGTGTCAAAGAGGTTGGCCATAGCAGTTTTTTGATCCTCTTCCATGATGCTCTGTCTCTGCCTGCAGAAGCTAATATTATATTTGCAGGGTAATTGTTATTCAGTATATCCAGGGCAGTGATGACACAACATTGCTGAGTGGAAGGCTTCCTAGACTGAAGCCAACAGCCAAGGTGGAGTGTTACCCTGATGGAGTCAATGACCATGTATCTGTGACCAAGATAAGGCTTGTCTGTGATCTGACCAGGAAACAAATATACTCAACCAGGTCTACTTTTTCCAAGATATGCTATACATAAGTACATACCAAGATGTAGAGTGAGCCAATCAGGTGCTTCAACCCTATGACCACACCTGGTTATGGGACTGATGATGATAATGTTATTCTAAATAGTTTGATTCTAATCATCTCCTGTTGGTATTTATCTGAGTCACTACATGATTTTGGCAGTGTTGTAAGCATCACCGGACAATACCTTAACTTCAATTCCCACTATCAATATAGCTTAAAGAAAGGTATAATTTGATGCTTACAACATCATGCAAAATAAGAATAATTCACCTCCATAGATTAAATAAATGATTTAGTTTAAAATTCCATGACGGTTAACTAGATTAACTGAAGAAGGCCAAAATGCACAATGACTGAAATGTAATAATAGCAAAAATGATGAGGGCATTCATTCAACTGTAAATGATGTAAATTTGTTTTTCACTCTCTTAAATTCATCACAAAGCATATATTGGGAATGATTAGTAAACATGAATCCATCTATGTACCCAATTATCCTTTTCCATCATTTACTTTCTACTAATTAGTTTCTATGTCTTTTAGATTGTAAAAAAAAACTTTTCTGCAAATCCTTGAAACATATCTCTAAATTTAACTCCAGATTCTTCTTATACTAAAATGTTGATATAATTGAAAGCCAACTAAATTCTGATTGATATAAAGTAATTTGTAATCCGAGTACAAAGTTAATCATCTGTCTTTGTTTTCAATTTAAATTTTTTGTCATGAGTTGCAAGTCTAGGTTACAAAAGGCTGCTGAAAAGTTCTTGGTATGATTAAGAAAGGATTTTAACAAATTCAGTTTGGTCATTAGGTCAGATTTTGGAAACTGAGTTAGAACAAGTACTTTTCAGCACCTCTTTGTATCATCTTAGTACAGTACTGTTGGCTAAAACCATTATACCAGACAAATCATTAACCATCTTTATAAAGTCAAAGTAAAATTTGTTTCTTTAAATTTTTTCTGATATAAAATATAAAATTCTATTCTTATTAACAGGTTTATAAAATTGGAAAAAATGTTTTAATTTTTAATATAAAATCAAATTTTGGCTCTTCATAAATTACATAGTTATGGGTCACTACTGATTAAATTCTTTATAAGTAGACTTTATTTGTATCATTTATGCTTTTTCTTTTTTCTTTTCACTTTCATCATTTGAAAGAATACCAAATCTTTAATATCTGTTTTGTTCAAACAGACTAGATTTTAGGTATTACAATCAGAACTGGCAATTCTCATCTCTAAAATATTTCTTTTCTACTCATTAAGTGCTTGTTTTACTTGTCACTTTGCTACTAATGGGAAAATAAGTGTATCCAACAGCAGCAAATATTTCAAATGCTTGATGTCCTATGAATTCTAAAGGAAGATAGGTGAATTTTAGTTTTAGATTTTTCATAATTTATATCTGTGGGCAAGAATCTTTTTAATATACATTTACAAAATCAAGTGAAAAATGAATATTTTAAAGATAATTCACTAGCTGATATGGTTAAATGGTAGGATAATATATGCAGCCATTACTGAAAAAAAATGTGAAGACTGATAAAAACATTATTTTGAACTGGTTATAAAGAAATAAAAATCATTCATAGCTTTTTATTGGAATGATGTGTCCCAAATTTTGTTTAAAATATAATGTCTGATTTAGAATAAACCTTTTATATTCTAATATATTATTATAATAGTTGGACAAAAATATATTACTCATTTCTAATGATTAAAGTGCCCTCTTTTTTAATTTTATATCAATCTCATTCAGAATTTAACAAAGCATCATATATCCCTTATTTTGAACATGAAAAAAGAGATGCAGAATTTACTTTCTTTTGGTCATAATATTTTTTCCATTGCTGCCAATAATAACAGAACATCAGGGTGAAGGATCCACTTGTGATCAGGCAGTATGGCACTGGCTTCTGAAGTTCCATACTGGAGATACAAGTCTTAAAGATCAAGGTAGTAGAGGACATCCATCTGCAACTAACGGTCAATATCTGAAAACACTAGTCAAACAAAACCCATGTCAAAATGTCTGAGAAATGGGTATCAGTATTTAAATAATATCGGACCATCTCAAGAAAATTGGCAAGGTGAAGAATCTCAGTAAATGGGATCCACATGAACTCCATGAAAGTCAAAGAGTTTGACATTTTGAAGTGTGTTCAATGCTGCATCTTCAAAATTTTAATGATCGATTCCTTAATCAAAAAGTGACTTGTGATGAGAAATGGATCCTTTATGACAATTATAAACTGTCAACTCAATGGCTTGATTATGACAAAGTACCTGAACCACTTTTGAAATTGTGCCAACAGAAGATTATGGTGATTGTCTAGTGGTCTACCCTTGGTGTTCTCTATTTCTGGTTAGATTCCAGAAACCTGTTGTTGGCTGGAATCTAACCAGAGCATCACTGCCAAAATTTACTGCCAGCAACTGAATGAAATATACGTTTAGTTAAGCAAAATGTGACCAGCACTGGTTAATCAACAAAGTCCAATTCTGCTTTATGACAATGCTCAGCCATATTATGCCAGGATGACACTGCAGAAGCTCACCAACTTGAGATATGAGACTTTGACACAGTCACCATAATACCTGATTTTTCATCCACTGACTACCATTTTTACAAGCATCTTGATATTTAAGCCAAAAGAGATTATGTTGTTGCAAAGAGGCAAAAACTGCATTCTTAAAGGCAAAAATAACTTTGTAACTCAATGGCAGAAATGTAGATGTTCTAGGGTCCTATTTTGACTGATTTAAACATTGTTTGAATACATTAATTCAGGAATAAATGTTGATTCTAAAATTGGGCATTATTTTCCAACCTTTATATATATATATATATATATATACACACACACACACACACATCTTTTAGCAAAAAAGAAATTCCTGAAATATGGCTACATATTTAATATCCATGATCTGATCAAAAAGTGTCAAGACTGTTGCTATGGTAAAGTATTGACTGAAGCTGCTTGGCACAGACAGACTTTGAAATCTGTCGCACATGCACACTAAGTTATAATGTTCTTGCTTACTTCTGTTGTTTATAGCAGCACTTGGAAGGAAAGTGTGTAGAGTGTGGTTGTCTTGCCGCATCACAGGGCTTCCATCAGTGGGCATGGTAGAGAAAATTCCCCAGGAAATCTGAATCAAATTTTGCCTAAAGCTTGGTGATAGCTGTACAGAGACCTACACAAAGTTGCAGAAAGTGTATAGAGAGGAGCATATTAGTGGTTTAAATATTTCCAAAATGACCAACAAAATGTTGACAATGACACATTCTGGGAGACTTGCAACCATCAGAACTGATGAAAACATCACAAATGTGCATGCAGCTGTTTGGAAATCACTGTGTGTAAGTTGTCAGAGGATGTGAACATTAGTTATGTTTCAGTTTAGTCCATTCTGACTGATGATCTGAGTATATGTGTATCTGCTAAGTTTGTACCAAAACTGCTTGCAGTTGACCAAAAAGAAAATCTGGTTTCAGCCAACCATCAAAGGTGATGTTTGATGGTGGCTTTCATATAGTTCATTTGTGAAATCAGAGACACAATTCTTCCAGTTAATGTTTATACTTGATCGGAACTTTTACTGATAGAATTGGTCAAATTTATTAATACCTTGTCTTTTTAGAGTTCATGTCTTGCATATATAGAGTAAGGTTAAAATGACAACTGCTTCATACCCCATGAGCTTCATTTTAGTTTTAGGATTTTGTTTCCAAAGATACAATAGTAACGTTTCCCAAAAGCAATATAGGCAGCATATATTCTGTTTCCTATATCTTTTTTATATTTTTACTTTATTGAAAGGCTACTTCCAAGATAGGGAAAATAATCTACCTGTTCCAGGAGTGTGTGCCAGATATGATGCTGTTAAAATCTGGAAGGACTCTTTAGTACTTTGATTTTCTGAATATTGATGGTCAGGCCAAAATGATCATAGGCATTTTTGAAGTTGGTAACAAACTGTTGCTCATTTCTTTATGTGAATGAGTTGGTGAAACTTTATCCTCAGCATACTGAAACTCTGAGATTTTAGTTGTGGGTGTGTATCTGTGGGTGGAACCATTTTATATAGTTATGAGAAATTCATATAAAAGTACTGGATTATACTTTAATATTGTTGAAAAAGATAATTATTTTGATGTAGTAACAAAAACAATGAGTTCTGCCTTCAACATGATTTAAATAGAATTTCAATAGTTCTAGTTGATGGCCATAAAACCTTTTAAACCAGTCATTTACTCTACTAACCCATTGAAGATTTAATATATTAAAGCCCTTCATGAATACCTGTGTGTATTCTTGCTATTATAAATATTCTGAAATATTAGTGTAACTTGTATTTATTTGATGTTCTTTAAATATTACAATATATTTAAATGGATTAGTAAGATTTTTTTTCGAATTTGGTAGTCTCTCTAAATTTACAATCTTCTCTCTTTTATCAATGCTATCATACTTACCAATATAAATTTGCAATAATTATGATGATACTAATAAAAATAGAAATAATATACAGAAAGCTGTCTTGTAGTATCTCATAAGGGTTATTTGTGAGGCAGTCAAGCTGAACACTGCAAGTGCTGAATATCTAAATTTAAGGCACAATTTTCTTCTTTCCTTTCTCTCTTTCTAGTGTATTTTCTAATTAACTGTTATCTATGAAAACAGTCTTCAATACACTTTATTCATTTTGTCTCTTATTTTTGGTTAATAACGATGCTCTGTGGGATGGGCACTGGATTAAATTACCTTTTTTGTTTATTATGTTATTGATTTGGGTACATTATCATTTAGATTTACTCAAACAGGTAAACAGTATGATTTCTCTGTTGCAGATGAATTTTTGTGCTAGAATAGATGTTAAAATCAATCTTCTACAGAAGATTGACTCCAGTTGTAGTAATTGAGGTAGTTACATTATTTCTCATTGGATCCATTGGTTTGTATTCAAACTCACATAAAAAATAATGCTTCAAAAGTTTAAAAGTAAGCAAGCAATTCAATTTTATTGGTAGATTGTTACAACATAATCTTCCTACAACCATCATATTCTGAAAAGAGAAAAAAAAATGATTATGGCTTTAAAGATATTTTTCCTCTAGAAATAATACATTATGGACAGCTATTTAAGAACTAGTTTAAGATTCTAATTATTAATTATTATATGCTTGAATGTATAACAACAAAGTTGAGAATGCAGGCCTGAATAATAGGCATATAATAATGTTAATTCGTCATGTAAAAAAAGATTCTGATATAATTTATCTAATTATTCAGTTTGAAATTAAAATTGACTTAAAAAAATCAGACATTATGGCTGAAACAAGGAGCAAACTTGTATAAACATATTGATTTGTTTATTTCATTTTTTTTTTTTTTTTTTTTTTTAAAGCCTAGGTGGTATATAGTTTTTTGGGGGGTTGTTTTTTTTAAATATTCAGTATTGAATATTTTTAAAAAGGTGCTTTAAATAATAGACTTTTCTAAAGATGAAAATGGTGGCAGAATAATAATGAAAAATCAAGTGACTTTCTCTTTTCATGAGTGGGTGTTGTTTGCAATTGCTCTGTTTAAATGAACATTTCATGAATACCCAGTCATAAAAATGATCCTTGTCTTATTTATGAAAAAGACAATAAAGTTTTTTTTTTGTTTATTTCAGGGGAAAAACAATAATGCTTATTCAATAAAAGAATATATTCAGTGTATAAAATCTTGTCATAGACTGAACCATTGTATTGACAATTTTTTACATTATAATCACTTTGCAAGTCTGTATCAGGATTATTTTTATAATTACTTTATTATTAGTCTATTGTTGAGTAAATTAATGCAATTTATATATCAAAGGAATTCTTTTGGGGAAGTGTGGGTATGTAAATATTACTAACTATTGTTTTATTTGGTTTTAAATTTCATACCACTACCTAATATATTTTCAAATGTTTAGTAAAAAAAAAAAAATAATTAATTTGGTACTAATATGAATGATAGTGTGCAGCACTGTTTTTAATGTGTAAATTGTATTTTGTGGTATAACTCTGACAAACACTGACAATAAATTTGAAAAAAGCCAAAACTAAGCATTTAAATTCCTTTTGAAAGGAATTTTTGTACAAAAATCTGATTTAAACAGTATACCACACCTTTTCTGGTTATGGTTGATAAAGCTAAACATAAATATTGCACGCTTAGATTGCCATGTCAAGAATATATTTTTCCGACAAGTATTTCACAACTGATACTTTACTGTTAGTAAATTTAAAAATATTGAATTCAGTATAATATTTCAAAGATGAATTTTCTATTCTGACTAGCATGCTCATCTTGGTTGTTAAAATTTTGGAGATTGTACCTCCAAGTTCATGAGTGGTGATCCAGTCACATACCAGCAGGGGATGATCAGCATTAGAAGCTCCATTAACAGTAATAATTTACTTATAATAAATAATAATGTACTATTAACTGCAAACATAAAATCAGTTTTCAGAAATAGAAGAAAAGTTGAAGGACAATAAATTAAAATTTTCTACACTCTGTCTACCATATATAAGGGGTATATCTGAAAAGATTAAAAGGATCTGCAGTCCAAACAATATCAAGATGATATTCAAAAGCAGTTGAAACATTGGAAGATATCTTTCCTAAATAAAGCTACAATTGACAGAAAACATGACAAGAACTGTGTGTATTCCATCACATACAGTTTCTGGCAAGGAATACAAAGGAAGAGCCAGCCAATCCCTAAAAGTCACAATGGAGGAACAGTGAAATGATGTATTCTGAGGAGAGACATTGAAATTCTATGTTGCTGATAATTGTATGAAGGGCAAAAAGGTGGTCATCAACCCTTATTGAATGAAATTGAGATAATAGAGAACAAGTAGAGGATAAGAATCGGTGTCCATGTTAGACACTGACGACCTCCTCAGTAGTCCTAGCATGGAACTGAATACTATCTGGGAGACTGATTAAGAAAGGGAAGTCTCTCACAGAGCCTCACCACCAGAGTCAGGGGTGGGAAGACTTGCAGTAAGAGATATATATCCTATTGGATATGGTTTCCTGGTAGTGCTTAAAAATCACATACTCTATTTCAGTAGATAAATGGTGAGTATTAACTGATATAAAATATTCCCTAATAATGGAAAGTATAATAAGAACAACTTTGAAAGTGTTTGGTTTACAATTCTGAGAAAGTTACCAAGTACAACAAGAATCAACTGAAGAAGACCAGAGTATAACAACCAAGATGAACATGCTGGATCAAATAGCAAAGATTATATGGTTATATTATGACAAATTTGTAATCTTTTTCTTTTTTTTTTTTTTTTCTTTTTTAATACACCTCTAGAATTTGTTTCCTTTTTCATTTTGATTACTTTTCCCACACTTGTATGCAAATGCTTTGCATAGAAACAATGCTTTTCTTAACAGTAATCTCTTTTGAAGATTATATATTACATTTTTTAAAAAAAAAAGCAAAAACTGAAAGACTAAAATTAAATTGATCAGTAGTAATATACATTGTTTGCATTCATTAATGATCTGTTAAGCTACATTTTGTGTATTAACTGTTGTAAGGTTACCAAAAATATTTACAATGTTTCCTTGTACTATGATCTCAAATTCTACTGTTGACTTGTGTTTTTGTCTATGCAATCATTTGATTTTGTTATTGAATTTGTGTGGAAGTGTTTTATTTTGTTTTTTATGTATTTATCTTGAAATCTATGTGGTACTTTTGTAGTTTTCCTTTTGAGCAGAAAAAAATAAGACAGAAGACTCTTTAACTTGATGGGAACATATACAAAGCAATTGATTTATTAACAAAGAAATGAAAGAGTAAAAGGAAATGAGGAATTTGAATTTTAGGCATTAAAAAAAAAATCAAACAACTGAAAGTTTAAACTACGCTGAGGGCAATATAACTAATACACATTCATTTTTATATTTTGTAAAAAAAAAAATCATATTAGCAGTTTACATTCCTTATATGAATTATAGATTAATTACCATGAAAGCTCTTAAACTTGACTCCTGTAAACTATTTACTCATATTTTTTTTCTTGTTTGCTCATCTTCCAGGTTGATGGAAAAATATTTTACCCTATTGTAAAATATATCCTCCTCTTTGTTTCTTGAAACTCTTTTCAGCTTCTATCATTCATAAAGGTAAGTTTTTGCATCTTATGACAATTTTTTTAATACAAAAACTGATACGTATCAAATTAGAAATCTCAATTGCTGATCCAATATAACCAGGTTAGTTTCATTTAAAGAGAAATCTATTGCAGTGGATAAAAAGATCAAACCATTTACTTTTTACCTTTTTGTTGTATTACAGATATATATCGGGTTGGAACAAATGTATGTAGCAAGTTTTAAGTGAATTTCAAAGACCATAACTGGATATTTGTACATTCATCCACACGTCATTTTTGTTCCACTACCACTTGTCATCTTTGATGCAGTTTCATGGTTACATCATCTCAGAACTTGCTATCTTTCTGAGCGATGAACTGATCCAAGTGTTTTATAGAAGTTTTCAGATAATTGAAGTTCTTCCCATTAGAAGAATTTTGTAGGAACTGCCTCTTATTTCAAGTTGTAATCTGAAAGTGCAAGTTCAGGTGAGTATAGTGGGTCAATTCTGGATGCTTTTCATCAATTGCTGCTTTTAATTTGTCCAATTTGGAATATTACTTGTTTGAATTCAATGTCTGACCTCATAATACACAGTGCCCTTCCAATCCTACTAGATACACAGCATTACCTTCTTCAGATGCAAACCATTTCCCCAAGATATTTTTTGATCCACATTATTATAAACAATGTATGTTTTGTCATCTATAATAATTGTTTTTAAAAATATGTAGGTTTTGTTGCATTTGAGCAGAGAATCACAGATGGAAATGTGGTTCATTACTTACTAATTTTTTTTCATGTTAAAACATGAGACACCCAAACATTGTACTTATTCACATATCCAAGTGTTTTCAATGCTTATGAGATATGTTGAGTATCTCTGCAATTTCCCATTTTTGTATGACTGAATTATTTTTAATAAGCATTTTGATTTAGTCATCACTAATAATTGCAGGCCTGCAGGAATATTTTCAGCCTTTGTGTTTGTCTTGTGTTGTTTGGTTTTCGCACATCCACATGTTGAGAGCACTGAGAAAAACTGGTGTTATATAGCTCTCCTAGTCCCAGACCCATGCTGACTATTGGCTAATACCTGCCCGGTATCATTCATATGCAAATAGTCGGCACCACCTACTAAGTAGAATGTCTTCTCTCAACAGCCCATTATGGAAGAGGGTGTAACTCCTGGTGCTTACAGCATCACATACAACTAACTCTGAGTCTCTTATCAGTTTGACCCGATTCTCAGTTACACTCCCACCTGATCTCAGCTCTAACATGCAGGGGGCGGGCATTTCCTTCTGGTGCTCCTTCGCAGGGGAGGTACTTCATCCTCAGTGTTGTCACTATCCATCTCCACTGTGACAGGAGGTGCATTAAAACCTGGGAATCTACTTCTGACTCCCCATCACCCATGGATGAATCCTCAGCATCGCTTGTAGCAGTGCATTGGTTCCATACCAGTTGGAGGTCTTTAGCATGACACAACATGCCATCAATCGGGACAGATTGTGACCTTCCTGTTTGTAAATTTGGAGGTACATCAGTTCTGGGGTGGTCTCACCCACATGCTCTGTCCATGGTGTTGGTAAAGGTACAGAGTCGGTGCCCTTGAGCCTAACCTCATAAGTATGAATTGTGTTAGCTGGTGCAGTTGGGCTTGACATGTCATCCTTCAGCGTCACATTATACTAGTAAAGGTCTTTTTATACAGGGCACTGCTTCCATGCCGCAATCCATTTTATGGTTCTATGGCACTTTTCTATTATCTCATTTCTGGATGGCACATGCACACACCAAAAGTGCAGCTAGATGCCTCATTCCACCATGAAAGCCTTGAATAACCTGCTGGTGAACACAGTATTGTTGTCAATAAGGATTTCATATGGTGGACCTCTCTCACAAAATATCGACTCCAACTGCCGAATAACACTCTCAGAATCTTGTTGTGCTATGGGTCACCAAAAAGAGACCTGTGTTGGCTCGCAGTCAATCAAGGTCAGGTAATGACTACAGTCATGTGTAATATCCATCTCCAGCCTGGAGCATGTACTGCAAACCACCAGTCTTCCATTCTGCCAGCACACTGGTGCCGGATCTATGGACTGGCATTCAGAACACCATTCTGAATCACCATCTTGACAGTTGTGCTAGGTACGGAGGAATCAACTCATCTGACAAAGTAAGTAATGCATTTAACACCAGAGTGACCACTACACTGATGTATTTTCATTATTTCACATGGACCTAACTCTCCTATGGCTGCACCACATGCTGAGAAGATAGGTTTGATATCCTTCTTCAACAAATCTAACCACTTCTGTGGAACTCTGGTAAGTTTGTCAGCTTTATTTTGGGTGGATTTTACATCCAAGTTGAGGCCATACTCCACAATTAGTGCCAAAAGAGTCCTCAGTTGTCTCCACATGAGCATCTCACATGCTACTTTCATTTTCAGGCACACCTTTCTGGTTAAGAGTGTCGTTGATTCAACGGAACATAAATGTGGAATTGGAGACCAGATGCAACACTTTTGCCTTTCACTGAAGGGTCAAGTTTATGCCCTTTTAACATTGCATCAAGCTCAGCTAAGTTAATATGTTGAGCATAACTGGTGTGACGAAACCAGCATATACCCTCCACAGTGGCCAGGGAACTTGCATCCACCCACACTGTCATTTTCTGGCTGCTCTCACACCAGCCTCCTCTTGTAGGGTCTTCTTGACGCATTCTCATCACTGTCTCATGGATCATGCGCTTCTACTATGTACAGGTTTCATTGTCCTGACCTTTAGTTACTGCAATGGCTCATTGCTTTAAGAATACCGCAATTGACCTAACTTATTCATTTCCATTGATGCACATCACCCCCCCTGACTTGCAAACCAAGCACTTTTGCACCATCATCGAGTCTCACAGGGTCCTTGCAGATCAGTCCTAAGTCAGATATATGCTTTCTGATGCACGCCACAAAAACCACACTTTCATTGGTGAAGATGTCATCTATGTATGCGGCAGTACTGTCTTGATAATTGCCTTCATTATAAAAGGTGCTAAATTGAGACTGAAACCTAATTGTGTAAGGCAATATCTTCACCCTTTTTCAGTAAGATGATCCAGAAAGGCCAAAGCACCCGGGGTATGTGGACCTGTAGGTACACTCTCCTAAGGGCCAACAGAAATACATTGCACCTGTGTTGTCGCCAGTTCCTTAGCTTGTCCGCACAGACATCTGCTCTTCCCGTGAATATGTCTACGTACTCATTTAACTTTGTAATCTATTATAGGATGTACCTTTTTCTTGCTCTATTGGATAACAACCATCAGTGGAATTAGATCGTTGGGAGGTCCGAGCTCCTTCTCAGGATATGGTATGAGCCAGCCATTATGCAACTCCTGTTTATATTCCTTACATGCTAGCTCAGACACAGGATACTCTGCTATCTTCTCTCATAGACATGATGGTGCCTAATTTTCGGCCCACTTCCATGATGCCATCCATGCTTTCCTTTTCTGATTGAACTTGACGCTAAAGCCTGTTTCCTCCATGGTAACCGCCGCACACAGGAATGGTTTTCTGTCAAAGAACTCTATTGCACATACCACTAACTCTGAATCTCTTATTGGGTTGACCCAATTCTCTGTTACAGTCTTAAAGATCAATATGTCCACTTTTAAACCTAATGAACCACTTAGAAACATTACTGTCACCTATAGCACCCTCTTTATAAACCAACTGCATACAAATGGAATAAGGATGCTTTGAAATGTCACCTTTTAGGATGTGTATATGTGGCATAAATTTCAATCAAATGTGAAATGAGATGTAACTATGAGTTCAAATGCCATCTATTTAAAAACACTATGAAGTTTTATTCCAACCCAATATTAGATTTTAGCTAAAACCAGATTTTAAAAAGATCTTAAACTGAAAAAAATCTCCTCTTCACAAAGTTCCTGGATTTAAAATATATACAATACATGTTTACACTGTATACTAATAAAAAGAAAAAGAAAACCTGCCTATCATACTTTTAATTTTGATTAGTTTGTTTATAAATTAAGTTTTATATAGTGAGCCATATGAGACTCATTCTATAACAGATTAATGATGGTCAAGGCAACTTAAGATGTTGACACATCTCAGTGACACCTTACAGCAAGTATGGTGTTAAATTATTTTATTAGAAATATAATTAAGTTTAAATTTAAAATCATTTTGTTGATATAAATATAATTAAAACAAATAAATATATAATTTTTTTAATAATTTTCCCTAAAAGGCTTCCAACAGCAATTAATATGCATTATCTTTTGGATTTAAATGTCTTCATTTTTCAATGAACTTAAATTTTCTCATGGTAAAAATTATAAACTTTATCTTTTACTCTATGATTGTATATTAATATTGAAAAAAAGAAATGAGACACCAACTTGGAAGGGATTGATTTTTTTCCTTTTTCTGTGTAGAATATTTTCAAAATGCTTTTTTAAATTTGCATGTATTTTTTGTTGGCTATTTTTCTTTTTTGTCATGTTAGAAGACATGGATATAATTATTCATATTTAAATATTTGGTCATTTCAATGACATCATTTTTTTCTTTTGTTGCTTTTCATTAGTTGATGAGAATTTTAAATATATTATAGGATGTGTTAATTTATATTTACAACTCAATAAGTATTCTAATTTTGTAAATATTTAGATTTTTTTTATTTGACAATGGTTGCTGTTGCAGCTATTCTCAGTCCAGCTTTGTTGTGTTATTATCTCTTAAATATAAAACAAGAACACATGACTATAGCAATAAAGTACTGAAGACCCTCATACAATCCAAGTTTCACAAATCCATTCAAGTGAATTATCTTTAAGTTGTAGAAGCCAGTCTGTACTATCTCTGAACCTCCCAACTGGGTAGAGCCTTAATGGGAGCCCCAGTCAGTGCTTTGTTATCCTAGCTATGTTAACATTTTTTTCTAATTAAATTTATAGATATTACAAATTAAACTAAGCATAACTATTAAAGG